CTTGAAGTCCTTCGGGAGCTCTTCAATTCCGTCCTCCATGGTGGCACTACTCCGGAGGCGTGGAGCAGAAGCGCGGTGGTTTTGTTCTTTAAGAAAGGCGACAACGCTCTCTTGAAGAACTACAGACCGATTTCCCTTCTGAGCCGCGTCTACATGCTATTTTCGAGAGTCATTACGAATCGTCTCGCACGCAGACTCGACGACTCCCAGCCTCCCGAACAAGCCGGTTTCCGAAAAGGCTTCAGTACCATAGACCACATACATACCCTGCGGCAGATTGTACAGAAGACCGAAGAGTACAATCTGCCACTTTGCCTGGCATATGTGGACTATGAGAAAGCCTTTGATTCCGTCGAAATTTGGGCGGTGCTACAGTCCCTTCAGCGGTGCCAAGTTGACTGTCGGTACATCGAAGTGCTGAAGTGTTTGTACAGTAGGGCTACGATGGCTATCCGAGTACAGAACCAGAGTTCGAAACCTATCCAACTGCAGAGAGGTGTAAGACAGGGTGACGTTATATCCCCGAAACTCTTCACCGCTGCGTTGGAAGACGTTTTCAAGCTACTGGACTGGAAAGGATACGGTATTAACATCAATGGCGAGTACATCACTCACCTTCGATTTGCCGACGATATAGTCATTATGGCAGAATCGCTGGAGGACTTAAGCATTATGCTCAATAACCTCAATAGTGCCTCCCAACGGATAGGTCTTAAGATGAACATGGACAAAACAAAGATCATGTTTAATGTCCATGTCACACCTATGCCGGTAGTTGTTGGGAGCACTATGCTCGAAGTTGTTGACGAGTACGTTTACCTGGGACAAATAGTCCGACTAGGTAAGTCCAACTTCGACCGAGAGGTCAATCGACGGATTCAACTCGGCTGGGCAGCGTTCGGGAAATTACGACATATCTTTTCGTCAGGTATACCTCAATCTCTAAAAACTAGATTGTACAACCAGTGCGTGTTGCCAGTGATGACTTACGGATCTGAGACGTGGTCCTTCACTGCTGGCCGTATGAGGACGCTTAAGGTCGCTCAGCGAGATATGGAGAGGGCTATGCTTAGAGTTTCTCTGCGTGATAGACTCAGAAATGAGGATATCCGCAGTAAAACCAGAGTGATCGACATAGCCCAACGGATTAGTAAGCTGAAGTGGCAATGGGCCGGCCATATAGCTCGAAGAACCGATAACCGATGGGGAAGAAAGGTTCTCGAGTGGCAGCCTCGTACCGGTAGGCGTAGTGTAGGGCGACCCCCCACTAGATGGAGTGACGACCTGGTAAGACATGCAGGAAGTCGATGGATGCAGGTGGCTCAGGACCGTGCTTTGTGGCATTACTTGGGGGAGGCCTATGTTCAGCAGTGGACTTGTGAAGGGCTGTAATGATGATGAATGATGAATGCTCGGGACGAGCATGTCTTAGGAGGAGGCAGTGTTACGCGCTCAACGTCATACACTAGCGCCATCTATTGTCAGGAACGAGAGCGAGGGGAGCTTTGCAGAAAATGACATCACAAACCTTTAGCGACAGCGCCATCCAAAGAACTAAGTTTCTAGAAAATCTACACTCGAACACTCGTCGCTTTGCGCGCATTTACTTGAATATTCCGGATGCTTCATTGCTAATTTGTATATATAGGCGCTGCAAGATGCGATCGGGGAAGTATTGGATTTGGCGAGACAAGCGAAGCTTCGGAGCGGAATAAAGTGAATTAGTGTGTTTAATTATTAGTGTTTTAAGTTTTAATTTAGGTAAAGTAAATTAAAGTGTTAATTTAGGTAATTTTATCGGCAATTTTTATTGTCACGAACCTCAAGCTCGTAACAGTATGCTTTCGAAGGCCTGCCACCACTACTTCTAGATGTATTAGGTTCATCAACCAAGGACTCGACACTCAAATGGAACACGAAATTCACCATCTATTAGATATACTGACTTTCAAACAGTTTTTATTATTTAGCTGTTTTATAAAAAAATAAGTTATGAAAAAATATGCTTTTTATGTCGCGATGTATTTTGAATCCGTGTCAAAAAAGGAGCAAGTAAAAGCAATATTTTTTATCCCTAAACAGAGTAATGTGTGAAGATCTTAATGCAATAAATACCTCGACATCGTCAAGCATCGGTTGCTTTTGTCATTTCTTAAACTAAATTGGTTATTTTTTGTTTAATTAACTAATATAATATAATATTATTTACAAAAAAATTAGAAATGCATAGAAGCATTTCAATAACGTATAATACTTATATACTTATATGGAAATCTTTCAAGTAATGTGGCATTGAATCATAATAACGTATTTCGTCAAAGTCATCTAATCGAACACGACTAGACTTGATGCTCTTTAATGCTTATGTTGAACATACAAAAAAAAATAAAAATACCTAAAAAGAAACTTTATTTATAGTAAGTATATTAATTTATAATTTTCATCTCCTAACAACCAGTGAGACGGCTTTGTATGGGGCTTTCCTATAGTGTCTGTTTCAATATATTCTTTTGAAGTACGATATAGAAATGCCCAAGATATCGACTGTTTTGACCTTCATTTCTTTCTTTAAAGGATATTTGTCAGCAGGCCAGGTTTCTTTAACGCATTGAAACACGTTAATAATCATTATCTTCTCAGATACACTAAAGTGTGACATTTTTCTTTCCTTCCCCGCAGAAACTGCACGCTGGTTCTATTTTAAAACAGGGGAGAAAACTTAACAAAACCACTTAACAATTAAAACAAGATAACAAAAACTAACTAACAACGACAAACTAGGAGTGGATAACCGAGGTAACTGTGTCCGACAACTGAGCGATCACTAACGCATCCCAAGACGGAATGTCGTTCGTTCGTTATTTAAAAATTATTATGTCAAGCAAGCCAAAGACTTTGGTCCGTGACCGTGACTCAAGGCTGACCAAAAGCCACACGCAAACAAGGACAGACGTTACAGTTTCAGGTGAAAGGTTTACAACCCCTGAGGACGGCGGCCACTGCATCTGTGCGAGCGATCTGTACTGCAGATGCGTTGCCGGCCTTTTAAAGAGAAGTAGGCTCTTTTTTTGAAGGTCCCTAAGTCGTAACGGTCTGGAAAAATCTCTGGTGGTAGTCGATTCCACAAGGAAATTGTGCCAAAAAAAAACTTCCTTTGAATCGCACAGTGGAGGACCGCCAGTCATCCAGATGGTATGGATGGTATCGCGAGTTTTGTCGCGATGTGTGATGGTGAAATTGTGCGGCTGGAATTAGTCCAAACAATTCCTCAAAACACTACCCGTGGTAGATGCGATTAAATACGCAAAGAGATGCAACATCTCTTCGCAGTGCCAGTGAGTCAAACCGATCGGAAAGAGCTCGATTCGAACGGCTTTCATCTAAGAAGTGTGTGGTGTTTAATTTAGATAAGATAAATTATTACAAATTTTACGTAAATATTAACTAATTGCTTTTATACAGCTTTTTTTATTAAATTGGATTTTATAAGAACAAGGTATTGTATTTATATGATTTGTTAATTAACTAAACATGTTTTAAAAAAAGCTTTTCAAATAAATGGTTATTACTGGTGGTTTTGACCTCATGCTATTGAATCTCAAGTAGGTGAAGCCGTTTATTGATTAATGAATTTTATAATTTTAGTTAATATAGAAATTGACGCAATTAGATCACGAGTTTTTAAGTGGTATAGTAATAGTTGTTTACATTGTTAGGAAATAAATTATCTTAAACACAGAGGTTTATTAGTTAATTAAGTATGGGACTTTTTGCTTTAACGACGTCTTTTATTACTTTTGGTAAATTATTACCAAATTCAGTGATAATTGTGTTTTGTTTAAGAGCCCTCTTACATTTCGCCGTTACTCAAATTTAGGTATTTACGCCCCGAGCAGGCGATGACCTACACCTTTATTTCATATCTTCAATCCCCCGCACTACGGTACAGTGAGTATAGCGCCTAAACGATCTTGATCTTCCTTTTGCTCAGGATGGAGTTCAGTGGATGGAAAATTTTTGGTGTGTCATTTTTAATTATCAAATTATAATGTTATAAGTAATCTATTTGATATATTTTTCATTATTTATGAACCTAGTTTTGAAATAAATACCCATAAATATTTTAATTGTTTCACAGTAATCGATTGTTAACCGATGTTGGTTAATAATCGATTATATCTACTAACGGTTGCAACCTGTTTTAGTAAATAAAACAACCAACTGTAACCAATATTTTTTAATCGTTACTTACAGTCAATTACCATTTTTTTATTATAAAAATATTTGCCGCAACGGCATTGACCGAGCTTTTTCAGGCAGTTACACACTTTTTATAAAACGCACGTAACTTGGCTAACATATTCAAAATCATCGTTCGCGCTCTGCTGAAAGCAGAGGGCCGGCGCAGTGAAATATATGGTACCTTTATTTAGTTAATTAAAAAATAATAGTAACGATTTAATAAGTAAAAATCATGGTAGAGTTTAAGTAAACGTTGATGAAGCTTTTGGTATAAATTTTACGTTAAAATGATGTAGAACTTTGAAGATATTGGGGCTTGTATCGAAGCTTTTTCGGTAGATAATTGAATTATGTCGATGTTTTTTCCCTTACGTGAAAGGCATATAACAAAAATGTATTTAATAATTATTTAAGTATAGGATATTTGTGACTTAAAAATATTTTTTTCGATGGTCGATATTAGAATAGAATAAAATCTACAAATTAGAGCTACCAAATCATGTCTCTCAGAGTTTTGGCCTAAACATTCATATTGAGAATGATTATTATTAAATAAATAAATAAGTTATTTAAAATTTGTCTTGAGCTTATTATAGTAGAGAAAACGAACTATTTTTACCAAGTAATTGTTATTTCAAGCAACGAACGGAAAACATATAGTTTCAACGAGAAAACATTGTAATTTCGCGTTTTTTTGTAATATTCCTCTTCATTGAAAAAGTGTTGAAGTTAGGAAGAGTAGAGGGAGGAGCACTTACCCTTAGCACGTAGTCGGTGCCGTCGAGTTCGAAGGTGGTGCCACCGATGGTGAAGGTGACCTTCGGCAAACTGGGTATGAGGGAGCAATCGACGGCGTACTGTCCAAAGGCGATGGGAGTGGCACCGAGAGCACGGTTCAAGGCCGCCACCTCCTGCGTGGGTCCCCCCACCAGCGAAGTTCCGGTGTCCGCGATCGCGTCGCACCCCTGCACCACCAATCCATACATCCATCATCCATTATAGCTAGTGTCCGACTGATATTTCGGCTTTGGTCACTTTCGACCAACATACCACTTTCGGCGAAACGTTCGGCTTCGGCCAAAATAGGTCGAAATTTTGGCCGAGGCAGAGTTTCTAGCAAGCGTCGAAATGGAACGAAGTGTTACGTGATAGATATGAACATAATTTAACAGAACCGTTTTATATTACACAGTCGATATAAACCATTTATTTAAGTTTTAAATACATTTATGTTATTAACTTTAGCCAATCTTGAACAGAATTTCTTCAGTTTTAAGCCTTCGGCTTCGACCTCCGATTGGACACCAAATACAGCCCAGAAGTCCACTGCTGAAAGTATGCCATATATTAACAAGCGCATTTTTTAGTATTTTCAGTTGTTATCAGGTCGATGCCGCTGTGCGAGCCTCCTGTTTCAATTTCCCTCTGCCGGTTCTTACGACACAAACGGGACGATATAAACGAAATATTGGATTAAACAGCTAGTGAGACATGCAGTAAGACGACGAAAGATGGCTTAGGACCCGTGCTTTGTGGTGGTCTAGGTTCAGAAATTTTGTACATGGTGGAGCCATGCTGCAGTTATATTAATAGTATAGTTGTAGCACGAATAGGTCCTCTCGACTGGACCCCGCTCTCACAGAATACCAGCGTAAAATAGTAACTTAATGAATTAATAGTATTTCGTATTGTGTGTATAGAACCGGAGACCCTTTTTACTGGAAACGAGGCATTCCATCTCAGTCCTCACGGGCGACAACACATCTGAATTTTGATTCGTAATCGAGGATAGATGTAGATATCTATGGGCCACAGTAACCACTTACCATCAGTTGGACTGTGTGCTAGTTTGTCACCCTATTCTATAAAAAAATTGTCTTTTAAAGGCTAATGATGACAACAATTTCATATATTTTTAAATACTACAATTTTACCAAGGTATTATTAGCGTCATTTTTTAATCCATCTTTTGCCCTTTTTTGCAATCGTAAAATGTTTACTATATTTCTTGTAGTGAGTGAACTAATGCTAAACATTAAAATAACTTGGTTGTTTGTAGCCTACGGGCTCAACTTTCTGTCAGCTGCTCCGAGCGCGCGGCCGGTACCGGCGCAGAGGTTTGTTCGCAGTGAGTGCTCCAGTGCGTAGCACTATTACTTCAATGTATGAAACCGCACTATATATTTGTCAGTAGTGTCACTATAATGAAACATTTTATATACACATCTACTAGTGTTAGTTGAACGAAATTAGGCTGACTTTTCTCCTAGATAAAAATATAAAAATTTCATAGTTCAATTTCATAGTTGGAGACATTGTTACAATGGAGCATGGCGGCTGCGAGCGTGGGATGGGTCGGCCAGTGGGCACAGACCTGTGCGCAGAAGGTGTGTCCGTGCAGCTGGACGGCGTCCATGCGGAAGCGCCAGTAGCTGGGCCGCACCGGCACGTACGTGAAGTTGCCGCGGTAGTGCGCAGCATCCGATCCTCCCAGGATCAGCTCCCCGCCCTGAGCAGCACTAGCGTCTCTGCAACACACAGAACGTGCTAGAGCCACGCTGCAGCTATAACAATTGCAGCACGAATGCACAACCGAAGTAGAACGACGAACGACCGCGACAGGAGCACGCTCTACCAGCATATGATCTGTGATCGTATGGCGAGTGTAGAGAACCGGAGACCCTTTTTACTGGATACGAGGCATGCTATGTTCGTCTTCAGAGATGACAACGCATCACACAACACATTTTAATTATTAATCAAAGATAAACGTAGATGTGTATGGGCCACAGCATCCACTTACTATCAGGTGGCCCGTGTGCTTAATCATCACCCTCGTTCTATAAAAAATGACTATCTGCTACCGCAGGCCAGTTTTTTGCAGATACATGACCACCGGTATATTGTAAGTATTAGTGGAAAAAATAAATGTAGTATATATAAAATTATTTTATTCGCTTAAGCGCCTTAAGAACTTTAGTCACCGTCGTCAGCGACCATCCGCTGATTTAAACTGTTATAAAATCTCCCAATAACCTCACAATGTAACATATCAGCATATTGTAAAGAAATATTTAAACATATTTTAATAGATAACTCTTTATTACTTAACACTGGTAAAAATCATCTACGGGTCCATGATCAAAGTAAAAATAATTGCTCTATCAACGACCATTTCTAAAAATTATACGCAATAATCTCTATACAATGTACAAAAAACCCGTCTGATCACTAACTTTTTCGGTATAACTAGTTCTAGGGGCGCTGTTCATATTGATAGAAAATTTTAGTCGATGACGAAGCGGAAACGTTAACCCAAAAATCTTATGCTAAAGCACCAAAAAAGGAAGCAAACAGATAATGCTTCACGAAGACTGCAGCAGTAGACCATTGCAGACGAACAGCTGCCAGCCGCGGCTCACTGGTCCGCTCCGCATGTTGTTATTTATTACATGATCGTTGAAAATGATACAACATTACTCTTTATTGTATATACACCAAGGGAAAGATTAACAAAGCAACATATACAAATATTGAGAGAAAACAAACTGCTCTCTCTCACAAACTTTCTACAAAACAAATGATTAAATGCGGCTCAAGGAGGTATTTTATATAAAGACTGAGCTAATTGCAGTCTTTCGACAAAGTTATTAATGTAACGGATCTTACGTATGTTATTCAAAGTTTTAATGAGTAGTTACCAACAGCAATATAATTCCACGACCTCACGAGTCCCTGCATATTGGCATTCAATCGAATTTGGGCGCATCACAACATACTCTTGATTAAAGTAATCGCGAATCACAATGTATGATTAGAGTTTAACTGCAAGCGCAAGGTCAGACGATAGGCACGTGTAACGGGCACAAGCTCTGTTTTATTTCACACAACACCTCAAATGCATAGCCTAATGGAACTTGCCACGGAATATATTTTCGTAATTTAAATAAATTATTATTATACTCAAGTGAATGGTTTTAAAAGTTCGCTTATTTATTATTATATTATTGGAGTAATTTTATTTACATAGGTTTTCGATAGATTTTATTTAAAAGTGACAAACTAACCAAAAATTCATCTCACGATGAGCGGCTCCTGCAGTTTATGGACATCTGCAGCCAACTTTACACAAAAAAGGCTACGTACCCCTGAAGATGGAGATGGAACGCCTCACAGTCTCTGGCTCTCTACACCCTTCAGACCGAAACACAACAATGCGAGCAGCTATCCAGTCCAGATCAACTCTTAAGTAAAATATTTAAGTACTGGTAAAAAAAGAGGCGAATTTGTACACGTGTAAGATGGAGTGAAGTAATTAGTGATGACTTACCGGTTAAGGTAGAAGGAGAAGACGGGCTTGACGAGGCCCTGCGCCACCATGTTGTCAAACACCGGCGTCACGCCGTCCACCGCGATGCTGCACAATGAGTATACACAGTGTTAACAATCAAACCTATATGCACATTGTAGGCAATACAACATAAATGTATATGTTATAGTCAAAACTCCCAACCGGTCAAAACCACTTTTAGCTGCAAAAATCTGGCAAAATTAGTTTTGACTAAGGACGTTGTTACTTACATCAATGATAAGGCTATTTGTGTCCATAACACATTATCCAAATTTTGGATTATCAGTGACAGTAGGTTAAGGTGCGGTTGTCATCCTAAAGCCGCATACATTAACGATACAATCGTTAACCAACAAAAATTTAAATATAGTATTGAAAAAAAATTTACTAAAACGTTGGTCAAATCCAGGCCCGTGACAGCTTAGTTCCATTCTACGCAACTTGGCGCTACCGTCGCAATTTGTCCTCTGTCTACGAACGCCATTTTGAGACGCCATATTGTGTTAATGTCAAATCATATTGTCAAAAATCAAAATTGTCGATATTGATTGCCGCCATTATTTATCCAAATTTTCCTCAATTATTACAATATTCTGTTTTTGTGTTGCTCTTGTGAACAATTGCATATACCCTCATAATGGTATACGAAAACTGTTGTATTGGCAATGAGTATAATAAGTATATACAGGAAGGTATACAGGTATATGTGTATTGGTGGTTGCAATACAACACGTGTAACGCACGCACCGGCTTTTCAGATTCTCTAGGAACGATAATTTAAATAATAAGTATATACAGGAAGGTATACAGGTATATGTGTATTGGTGGTTGCAATACAACACGTGTAACGCACGCACCGGCTTTTCAGATTCTCTAGGAACGATAATTTAAATAATAAGTATATACAGGAAGGTATACAGGTATATGTGTATTGGTGGTTGCAATACAACACGTGTAACGCACGCACCGGCTTTTCAGATTCTCTAGGAACGATAATTTAAATAATAAGTATATACAGGAAGGTATACAGGTATATGTGTATTGGTGGTTGCAATACAACACGTGTAACGCACGCACCGGCTTTTCAGATTCTCTAGGAACGATAATTTAAATAATAAGTATATACAGGAAGGTATACAGGTATATGTGTATTGGTGGTTGCAATACAACACGTGTAACGCACGCACCGGCTTTTCAGATTCTCTAGGAACGATAATTTAAATAATAAGTATATACAGGAAGGTATACAGGTATATGTGTATTGGTGCTTGCAATACAACACGTGTAACGCACGCACCGGCTTTTCAGATTCTCTAGGAACGATAATTTAAATAATAAGTATATACAGGAAGGTATACAGGTATATGTGTATTGGTGGTTGCAATACAACACGTGTAACGCACGCACCGGCTTTTCAGATTCTCTAGGAACGATAATTTAAATAATAAGTATATACAGGAAGGTATACAGGTATATGTGTATTGGTGGTTGCAATACAACACGTGTAACGCACGCACCGGCTTTTCAGATTCTCTAGGAACGATAATTTAAATAATAAGTATATACAGGAAGGTATACAGGTATATGTGTATTGGTGCTTGCAATACAACACGTGTAACGCACGCACCGGCTTTTCAGATTCTCTAGGAACGATAATTTAAATAATAAGTATATACAGGAAGGTATACAGGTATATGTGTATTGGTGGTTGCAATACAACACGTGTAACGCACGCACCGGCTTTTCAGATTCTCTAGGAACGATAATTTAAATAATAAGTATATACAGGAAGGTATACAGGTATATGTGTATTGGTGCTTGCAATACAACACGTGTAACGCACGCACCGGCTTTTCAGATTCTCTAGGAACGATAATTTAAATAATAAGTATATACAGGAAGGTATACAGGTATATGTGTATTGGTGCTTGCAATACAACACGTGTAACGCACGCACCGGCTTTTCAGATTCTCTAGGAACGATAATTTAAATAATAAGTATATACAGGAAGGTATACAGGTATATGTGTATTGGTGCTTGCAATACAACACGTGTAACGCACGCACCGGCTTTTCAGATTCTCTAGGAACGATAATTTAAATAATAAGTATATACAGGAAGGTATACAGGTATATGTGTATTGGTGCTTGCAATACAACACGTGTAACGCACGCACCGGCTTTTCAGATTCTCTAGGAACGATAATTTAAATAATAAGTATATACAGGAAGGTATACAGGTATATGTGTATTGGTGGTTGCAATACAACACGTGTAACGCACGCACCGGCTTTTCAGATTCTCTAGGAACGATAATTTAAATAATAAGTATATACAGGAAGGTATACAGGTATATGTGTATTGGTGGTTGCAATACAACACGTGAAACGCACGCACCGGCTTTTCAGATTCTCTAGGAACGATAATTTAAGAAACTTGTGGATGTCTTTCATAGTGCCGACAAATCCCCAGCTCATTGTACTTTCCAAAGAACAGTTACTTAACAAACGTGTCTGTGAAAAACATTTTGATATATTTCAGTTCGACAATGAAGGCAGAAGACTTTGATACTCTTACCCGTCCTTGCTTACTGACAATGAAATAGCTCATGGTGTGCCTCTGACTGCAACAGGTGTCATTTTATTACTTTCAACCATGGTACTTAAAGGAGAAAGACACCTCTCTATACATTCTTGGGCCCAAGTATTAACAAGATAAAAGTACGACCATTTGTAAGCATATACTATATAGACAATTCATAGCTGAAAATCTCGCAAGATTTGTCAATGTAGGAACTGAGTTATTGTAGAATAAGTAAAAGTGAGATTATCTATTGGCTGCACTGTAACAGGTGATTTTGCACTATTATTACACAGTTACAGGCTATTTTTCACTATAATTACTTAAATATATAAATGCAGGATCAGTAAAAAATCACCAAAAAAGCTGTGGTTGATAATGAAACGATATGGTGAAACGATTAAAGAAAGTTAAGACAACTACAACTAAGTGAAGTGAATATTAGGAATTCTGATCTTATAGATGTGCCAACTTGGAAAAATTAGGAATTGATTTAACTCGAGTTGAAATTCACGCAACTCGAGTTAGCAGTACGAATCAGAGTAAATGATTTGTTAGAAATTACTTTTTTATAAATTTGTTTTTCTATCTAGCTCTTTGGTGGGTTGAGATAATTATAATTACCTTTTTATACCTATTAAAACTTATGTAGGATTGATATAAAAAGGTATATTTAGTATATTTTTGGTTTAATCTTAGTTATAGTAAGTACTTGTATTTAACAACAAAACTAGCTATATAGCAGTCTTCATGAAATAATATTAGTCTAGCTTTAAGATGTAGGTACATAAGCTATTAATAGTTTAATTACAAAAGGTTGAAGTCAAAATATTCTTAAATAAGTTCAATATATTTATTGTGAGTTAAGTGTTACATTTGGCATTAATTTAAAGTATGATTACACTATATTGATCATAATTAATCAAAATTATAAAGGGAATTAAATTACACAACTAGCTATAATAAAATTCTAAATAACAAATTGTTTATACCAGTAATATACCTGCAGCATGGCTCTACCACATACAATTGCCATATAACTTAGTTATATGATAATATAGATCACTTTTAATCTAATAATACATACAATACAGAAATATAACATTATATATTTATTCTTTAATTTTGGGTTTATGTATAAGAACATTCAAGAAGTGAGCCGTGGTAGCTCAGTGGTTAACGCTCGCTGTAAATATAACAGAACGCGAGTAACCGGGTTCGATCTCCCGCTGGCACCAATGAAATTGTTAATTGCAATTTTAAGTGCTGATTTACCACATGCTCGGCGGTGAAGAACATAAAATTCACAAATATTGTTTGTTTTCAGGAATAGAAATCTAATGCTGATGTGGTGTGACAAATGTTGCCAGAAGATAACAAAATGTATACATTGGCATAAAGGTATGATAAATTCAGTTTATTCTTAGATATAATTAGGTAAGATAAGATAACATATCCATTATATCATATTCAGCGTATCTATCCTCAAATCACGATAAGAGTTCTTTGTTCTTCATCTAATCTAAAGATTACAGTTCCACTACACTTCAATGGTTTTATCAACAACTCCTTTAGTATTAAGGTTACACTTATTTGGAACTCCGTGCCTGAAGACATTGAGAAAGCTCCTGATAATAGATGTATACCATGTTAATATTTATATGTTTTTTATTTCTTATTTACTGCATCTACCACTTTATTTTCACCACACCATGGGTTGACTGATAAAAAATGCCAACTGCCATGAAGCCACCCTTTGTTACCTTAATGTAAATAATATATAGTTTATGATTATCATTAAGTCATAAAATATGAATATTGGACTTTATTTTTATTTATTTCTTTTCAGGTTACGTGGTGTAGAAAATGATGAATGTTTTTTTAATTTTTTTTAAAAGAATGGCCAGGTGTACCCCAGATGAAAAATAAATAGCATTTCTTCTAATAAAAAATAACTTGAAAAGTAAAATATTAAGCACTTAAATTATTCCTGTGGTTTAATTTGCTTTATTTAATTAATTATAAATATTGCTCTGTTTCTCGTCAAATTGTACTTATTTATGTAAAATGTTATGTACAATTTTCTAATTTGTTTATATATTTTAATGTGCCTTTAATTTAATCCTAAGATTATGTTTGTATGTATATGATGTTGGTGTGCTTGAATAAAAAATAAATAAGTTAGATGTATTATAATTGTTTCATTAAGTATTATTATTCCCGTATAATGCACTTATGTCGATATCGATAAAATAAGAACACCACTAAACATCGATATCGATAGTTTGAAGGATGTGTGCTTGCAATCCCTAAGCTATACATAGCTATACTAAATTGCATACTCATCTGTCAAATTGGGCGACTGCAGCGCCAAAAGGCGTAGTTGGGAAACTTGACTAAAAGTCACTGTCGTATCTGTAGCTTGCTACATATTTATTTATCTATGGTCAAATCACATAACTGAGAACATTGGTAAAAACCACTTT